ATATATTGTAAAATAAACACCAACTTGTTTTTATTTTTGTGTTTATTATTATATATAATATATAATAAACACTAATTTTGTGTTATTTTTGTGTTTATTATTACAATATATAATAAAATAAACACCAATATGTGAGAAAGAGAGCATTTTAGAATTTACAATAATGATGACCGTGGCAACAACTGAAATGACTGTATGTTCACAGCAACCCCCACCTATAGGGCACTCAATATATTAATATTTATTTTCTTCTTGTGCTATGTTCTAGAGAATGTATATTTACTTTCATATTTATTATTGTTTTATTGTGCAGTAACTATACATTTATAGTAAAAAAATAAAGCAAAATAGCAAAAATTACCAGAAATCCAAGGGCATATTGATGAGCACTGTTAGTATTTAGAGATATATTTTCTAGACTTTGGCTTTCTTTTTTTTTTTTTAAGATTTAAAAAATTTATTTGACAGAGAGAAAGAGAGAGTACATGCAGGGGGAGCAGCAGGCAGAGGCAGAGTGAAGCAGAGAGGGAGAAGCAAGCTCCTCGCTAAGCAGGGAGCCCCATGCAGGGCTCGATCCCAGGACTCTGAGATCATGACCTGAGCCGGAGGCAGATGCCTAACCGACTGAGCTACCCAGGCACCCCTAGATTTTGGCTTTTAATCAACAAAAATTCTGGGCTTCTTTTTCTAGTTAAATAAAATATGAGTATATTGAAAATATGGGATCATAGTTGTATGAGTATGAGTTTTAGCCTTCCTTTAAGTCTTAGTATTATATTATATTATTTATTTATTTGTTTATTTTTTAAGTAGGCTCCATGCCCAGCTTGGAGCCCAACACAGGGCTTGAACTCATGACCCTGAGATTGAGACTTGAGCTGAGACCAAGAGTTGGCTGCTTAACTGACGGAGCCACCCAGGTGCCCCTATTGTATGTACTCTATAGATAAAATTCATACCATCTTTGCAAAGTAGAACCACATATTTAGATGAAGAATCCAAGGTTCAGAGAGGTTCAATAAATTGCTTAGGTCACAGCAGTAAGGGATGGAGTTATAGTCTAAACCCTGGGCTGTCTACTTCCCAGGCTGTGGGTTTGATCATTATTTTGCCCAAGGCTCCTTTCATTGTATTTTTACTTATATCATCAGAATTTAGCTTTATTGCACTGCGGTGAGAAAATATATCTATATAACTTTCTTCTGGATTCATTTTTGGAATCTTATTTAAGAGTTAGCATATATGTATCAATGCCGTATACCTTGAGAAAAATGTATGGACGATACTATGTTGTTACTGAGTTCAATGTATGTCCACTGGTTCTAGCATACTAAATGCATAGTGTTCATAACCTCTATTTTATTTTTCAAACTTACATCTACTTTTGCAGATATAAAATAAAAAATACAATAATATAATCCTACGACTTAAAGGAAGGCTAAAACCCATATATCATACAACTACGATTCCATATTTTCAATGTACTCATATTTTATTTAACTAGAAAAAGAAGCCCAGAATTTTTGTTGATTAAAAGCCAAAATCTAGGGGCGCCTGGGTAATCCATGTCTTCACTGTTGTTTTTATATTTTTCATTATAATCAGGAGCCTCTTTGCACCCTCCCTCCACTTCTTTGGTTTCAAAATCTCTTTTATAGGATTCCACCTCTACCAACTGTTTCCTTTTTGTTGTACAAATTTCCTCAATAAAACTTTTTTAAATTTTTAGCATTTCTGCATCATTTTATTACAAATACCTGTCTTTAAGCAACAAACATATTGTTGGGTCTTATGTTTTAATCCAATATGGGAATTTGTCTTTGGAGAAACTAACGGCCTCTTTATATGGCCTCCCTTGGAATGCAGTTGGCACAGTGATAGAAGATAGGCTCTCGGCTATGAGCTGTGGACTTGCTGCAAATTGCTTAAGGACTCTATGAGGAGGAAGCTATCAGTGTCCTTATCTGTACAGTCCTGTTAATTAAGAGTATAAACTTTATCGAGCTGTTGTGAAGATTAAAGGAGATCAAGAACATTCTGGAATAGAAGCATGGTAAAGCATATTAAACTATTATTTGTAAAATGTAACTGTCATTTTTTGCTATTATAGATACCAGGCCTGGAAATTTCATTCAAAGCGAGTTTCTTGGCAATAGCATATAAAACAAATTCTTAAAACAACGATCTGTGCTTAACATGGGGGGGAAATGAGCTCCATACTTTTCTCTAACCCCTTCTCAAATTTCTCTCTGAGATAACGGGAATAACTTACAGTAAAATTGCTGAGAGGCAGTGGTCAGGTTTCAGTTCGACTCGTCCGTCTCTACTTCTGGCTGTGCTGTGGCATTCACAGCCTGCCTTAAATCCAGCCCTGCCAGGAATCACTGTTTGCTTCCCATTTAATTCATTAAGGATTTAGGGGGTAAAAATACGTTGTTTGCTTCCATGATGGAGATTTGAAGCTGCAGACTTCGTTGGCCTCTCCTCTTGTCATTGGGCGTGGAAACACTGACACTAAGAAAAGCAAACCAAACAGTGATGGATTTTCTACTTCTTGGATCCTGGAATTTGCTCGTCCAATGACAGCCATCTGGTGAGCAACCAGACAGGAGGACTGACTCTCAGCCTGGGGCTCTCCTTCCAGCCGCCCTCCAGCCCCTGCCCAGCAAGAACCTCTGCATCAGTTCAAGCTGCCGGGAGCTGAGCTGAATTCTTAACTTCTGCTCCGAAGGACCGTAGACAGACAGAGACGAAAGTGAAAAAATCTGAGGACTCCACTAGTGTCCGTTTTTAACTTTCCAAAATTGTCTTTGCGTTTCAGGATCCGGATAATCTCAAATCAGACAATGCTATAGTATCAAAGTGAGGAATAAATATCCTATGATATTATAATCCGATAAACTCCAGAATGACATGCTTGATTTTTGTCGTGTGAGCTTCAAATCTCTGATGGCTTCTATTTGATCAGGGAGAGGGAGAGATGGGTGCATTTCCCACCAGAGGCAACAGAGCTGTTTTCTTAAACTTCTGTGATAATCATAATCATCTTGTCTCTTGTTAAGCATATGCTTCTAAGCCCCTCCCCAGAGACTCTGATTCAGTGCATCTGGGATGGGGCCTGAGATGTGTGTTCTTGACAGGAGAAGAGCTTGGACAATAATGGGGTAGATGGAGGGAATAGTCTGTTTTTAGAATCAGACAGCTCTGGGCTTAAATCCTATCTACGGTTATGGGGTCTTGCACAAATTAGTTAACCTTCCTTAACCTCATCTGAAAAACAGTAGAGATAAAAACATCTACCTCAAAGTGTTGTCGAGAGGATTCAAAGGACTGGGGCCCTGTATTGCACCTGCTTTTTGGTGCTGCTAAAGCATTTCTGCCTGAGTTCATATGAAGGTTATCTGTGAACTTAGCACGTAGGCATAATGGTTTTTATTGTTCGTCTGCTTTTGCTGTTGTGGGTTTTTTGTTTTATTTTGTTTTACTTATTTTTTCCATCTATTTAGCAGATATTTGTAAAGTTTTTACTGTGTGCAAGGAACTGGGATTCCCAGAACCCCCTAAGCACCTCCCTGCTGGTGTGGCATGTCCACATGGCCCACCCCAGGCTTTTGAAGGGACTGATCAAAATCTCATGTGAGTGACTTGACGAACAGGTCCCTAAGTGTTTAGGGGGCTTCCTGAGATTAGGAGTGGCATGTCCTTATCACTTCTTTGTACCGGAAATTCCAGTTTTCTTGAATCCAATCGCGTGCGGGTGTATGTGTGTGTGTGTGTGTATGTGTGTGTGTGTGGTTTTATTCTCTGTAGTTGCAATTTTTTTTCCTCTGCTTTACTGAGATATTATTGACATATAACATATGTAAGTTTAAGGTTTACAACGTGATGATTAGATACATTATATATTGCAAAAGGATTACCACAATACAGTTAGTTAACATCTCCATCCCTTCACGTAATTATGGTGTGTGTTTGTGTGTGTGCATGTGTGTGGTGATAACATTTAAGATCTACTCTGTTAACAACTTTTAGTATATAATATAGTATTGTTAACTATAGTCACCATCCTGTGCATTAGATGCCCGGATCTTATTTATCTTATAGCTGGGAGTTTGTTACCCTTTGACCAATATCTAAAAATATGGAATGCTCTCTGAATTTGCGTGCCATCCTTGAGCAGGGACCATGCTAATGTTCTCTGTATCATTCCAGTTTTAGCATATGTGCTGCCAAAGCGAGCACCGTGTGCATATTTTTTTTTTCAACAGAAAATATGCACTTAAATGATCCCACTTGGTTTTTACACAGAATATGTTCTAGGTGCTTTGCACTATGCAGTCTTCCCTTCCTGGCGAGAAAAACCTTTGCACCTTTTTTCCTTCCATCCTAATAACAAGAATCCATTGGATTTCTGAGGAATATCCTTACACTTTCTGTATATTTAGCCTTGCTTCAAAAGAATTTAAGGCACTTTTTAAAGATGCAAACAATGTAAGACTTATTAAAAAGAAGATTCAGGTATGGAAGATAAGGATGGGAAAAATAAGGTGAGCTCATGAATGAGGTTTCATGTCAAATATCGTACCATTTTTTTCGCTTCCTGGTCATGGGCCAGATATTTGCTCTGAACTTTCAAGCAGTCGGTGCAAACCCTCTGCAATCGAGGGAGGAAGGCGATGATCCTCAAGCCAATTATTAGGATCATCATCTATATGAGCCCTGAATATTGTTTTAACTTTACCACTAGCCCAAGACTTTAGGTCCAAATCAACACTAGGGTCATTAAGGCTCTACGGAAGGGTCATGAAGTGCCATGGAAAACTGCTCTCTAACATTCCAGCCAAATACAAAATGGATCAGGGAATAAGGAGGCCTCTGGTTGCAGGGGAAATTACAGCTGGGTGGAAGAGCCGGGCCAAGGATCAGCCAATCCCTTGGTTCAGAAGTCGTAACCATGGCAACAGTGGTGCCCCAGCTCTACCACCAACAATGATGCCCTTAAGGGGCACCAGGAAAGAGAGGAGCCTCTCATACTTCCCGGGTAGGCTCTGGGTGAAGGGGCTTTATGTATTTTTTATTCATAATCCCCGGGAGAAAATAAACAGCCTCTTTCACGTTAACCTTGCAGACCCAAATCCACAAAGGAAAGGCAAACGTCCGGCGGCACAGCCTGGCCGAGGCCAGGTGTGAGTCTCTCGTCTAGGAAACCTGTAGCTTGCCTCCGATTTGCCTTTTATTCTCTTTACTTTCTAGTAACAGTGCTGCTCAGGACTTTTCAACAAGAAAAGCCCAGAGGAAGATGGTTGCTTTTGAAGCCACCACTCTCGTCTGCCTCATTCATTTCAAACGTACTTCTCAAAGAGACCAAGGCCTTGAGTACAAGGGCACAATGCTCACTGCATTCTCTTGCTGTCAGCTGTGATGTGGTGGCTTTTGATTCTGCACAGAACCTGCCTTGTTTCAGAAACTGATCGATGGAGGCCTCTGAGTGAAGGAGGCAACGAGACAAACGAGCAGGGCTCCTGATAAGGCAAGGAGCTTCAAGAGAATGGGCTTGAAAGCACTTAAAATAAAAGGTAAACAGCATCCGTGAAAGTAGAGAATTCTCAAAGGCATCGAGCTGTTGCTGGTGGATAATCTGTAGTTCTGAAGGATCTTCACGTGTTTGTGCAAACACACGTCAGCTCTTTGGAGACATCTGACTTGGGATTTTAGACTTTTTGGTTCCGGGGCGGGGGGTAGAAAAGGTGAAGTCCACACTGATGTCACAAAGCAGGGAAAACTAAGTGAAACAAAAAACACAGGCGGCCTGAGTCAGGTTTAAGGCAGGGAAACAGAAAACAATGCATTGAAAGAGCTGGTAATGAGGCATCTCTGTAGAGGAGAGGGCGTGTGATTTCTCTTTAGAAGGCCATGGAAAAGCCCACAGGGCTCATTCTAAACACCTTGGGCAGTTTGAGGGCTGCTCTGGGTAAGCTCTGAGGGAGGGGCCTCCTCTTCCTATAAACCCTTGTCCTTCCCTTTTGCCCAATAGATAGACGCAAGCCAGTGAAAAATCAACATGAGAAATCTAGCCACACTAAATACGTTTATAAGAAAACCCTATCAGACTCCCTGTTGGTCAGCATTCTTCATGAGTTTGTGTTGGGGGCACATTGCAGGCTGAGGAGCTGCAGGCTGAGGAGGGAAGTGGGGCGGGGGGAAGTTAAGTGAAGCAGGAATCCATGTCCCCATCAGTGGTTCTTATACACCATGTTCTCATTTAAAAAAAAAATGTCCACCAGCTAGGTGGGATTCCATTGTGTAACTAAGTTAGGCTTAATATCTCAGTTTCACAGAAAAAAAAGTTGATTGAATCAGATACTCTTGGTTGCCCACCCAGCAGCCATTCGCTCCTTTAATTTTTTGCTTGCAGAGTCCCTGTTTTGATTGGGAGTCCTCCTGCCCTTATTGTGAATCAGGGAAGGGTGACCCTATCTTGACCTTCAAGAATAAATCCTGATTTTGTGGTTTTTTTTTTTTTTTTAATGGCAATTGAGGTAGATGGAATTTTAAGATGCCTCCCATGATCTTCACCCTCTGGTGTTAACTTCTGTAATTATGGCAAAAGGCAGATTATCTGGGTGGGCTTACTCTAATACTTAAGCCTTTTAAAAGTAGAGAGTTTTCTTCAGCTGCTGGAAGAAGGGAAAGTCAGAGAGATTGAAGTATGAGAAGGAGTCAGTGCATCATTGCTGGCATTAAAGATGGAGGGGGTCCTTGCTCAAGGATGGAGAATGGTCTTTGGACTTGAGAGTGATCCTGGTGGATAGCTAGCAAGGCCATGGAGGTCTCAGTCCTACAGCTGCAAGGAGCTGAATTCTCCCAGTGATTTGAATGAGCTTGGAAGCGAATTCTTCCCTAGAGCTCCAGATGAGAGCTCAGACCAGCTAACACCTTGGTTTCAACCTTGCAAGTACCTAAGCAGAGAACCTACTCAAGCCTTCCCGGACTTCTGACCTATAGAACTATGAGAAAATAAACAGGTATTGTCTTAAGCTGCCAAGACGTAAGCTGCATTAAGCTATTACACAGCAATAGAAAACTAATAAAGCAACCTGTAGGTAGTGTCAAGAAATCCATATTTCTGCTCAGGAATAATTAGTTTTCAGCTCTGACCCTAATCAGGAATCAGAAAGTTACCAGCAGCAGAGACCGGATATAGCTATCCAACAGCCATTCCCAACTTTCCCTCTTGTGCACCTCTCCCTCCCCATGAAAGATCAGATTCTTGCCGCTGGGTGGTCATGTGACCTGGATTTGCCTTTGGATAAAATCCTGCGAGAACATGAAACTATAGAGTTGAAGCAGCCATTTTATAGATGTGAGGTGATGAGCCTAAACATGGTAGAGGGGAAAGAAGGAAAGATCTTGGTTCTTTCAATGCATTTTTTTTCTTTTATGACAATTGTGAGCTAAGGGGCCAAGTCGGAAATTGCCTACTTTTGCATCTCCTGTTATGTAAATTTATTTTTATTGCTTAAGACACTCTTAGTTGGTTTTTCTGTTGCTTAAAGCTGAACATATCCTTACTGATACATTACCCTTCCAATAGAAAGAGTATTACAGGTGGAGACATCTGAGGGAGAGTGAGTGTAGACGTTGAGGACCAGGCTTTTGGCACAAGTAGGAAAGGGTCCATAGGCATCCAGGCGCTTGAAGGACAAGTATTCCCTGAGATTCTTTTCCCATGCATAAAAGTTTACGTGGCCATGGATCTAAGCTATATATTAAGTACTACTCATACGACCTTGGACCATTCATCTAAACTTGGTGAGTCTGAGTTTACTCATCTGCAAATAACAACACCTTTGTCACTTGTTTTTATGGGGATCAGACTTGATCGTATATTTCTACTTGCTTTGGAAACTTCAAAGGGCAGCTCTGGTATGAAGTCATAGCCTAGCTTGGTGCCTGGCATATAGTAGGTACTCAGTAAGTATTTGTTGGTCGATGTGCTGGGTCTATTTGTCCATATCAGGGTTATTCTCATGGCACCATGAGCTTGGGGGTTGGGCTGCTTGCTGTCTGCTTAGTTGCTCCATTGAGCATCTACTCCAGATATAATTTAAAGAAGGATTTTATTAAACACTTTCTTCTTGGCAGTGATGTATTAGGCTCTGCAGCCGAGATAGAGAACTCAACTTTTGTTTTCCACGTATTTTCCACTAAATATGCTGTGACGAGTTATCTGTTTTGATCAGGGACCCTGTCCATTCATCTTCTCCCATCCTGACTTTCTCTATGATTTAGGGTGTGAAGATATCTGTGGGCTTGGACCTATCACTGTTGTGTGAGGTGCTTTGGCTCCAATCAACAGGGTTGTGTCCAAGGCAGGCAGGCCCCCTGTGAACTCCCAGGCCGCTGAATCAGTCATCCGGAGGTGACAGGTGGTGCCTAAGACATTGCGGAGCAAAAGGAGATAGCCACACCTGACCCTTTGAAAGCTTCCCTACTTCAGACAAACCGGGACACTATTTGCTTCCTCAGGCTTACCCCCTGTAACATTGTCCTCGTTTCTGACTCCTCATCCACGCTTCTGACTTCCTGTATGCTCTCCTGGGTCTCATTGCTCCCAGCTGGCCTCTCCTAGCTGGACTCCGGGACTGCTGCTTGCCGCTGATTCTGGGAGGCTAAGCAATCCTGGGTTTTGGTCTTGCCGTGCTCCATACCACACTGGCTGCAAAACGTGCAGAAACTCCACTGAGAGCAGACGGGCTGGCATCTGATAAAGAGTTGTTTCAGGTTGCTCCCCAAAAGGAATTATACTGGAGCAAGACAGAGGAGAAGAGCAGGTGCTTGGGGGCTAAAGAGCATCAGGCGAATGAGACCGGAGACACTGTAGTCCGGGTAACTTAGCGAGTCACAGAGCAGCTGAGCATCACCTTGAAGTACCGAGACACAGACGGCCTAACGCTGATGAAATAAGATGAGGGCGCATGGGGGTCAACGGGGAGAGAGTGATGCCGAGATCAGAAGAGGCAGAGAAAAACATCTTGATACAGAGAAGGCAAAACCCTAGGCTGGGAGCAGCGAGGTTGAGTATAAAGAACGCTCACTGGAGTCAGAAGCTGGGCGTGTGAGACCTGCTCTGTCTCTTACTTTGACTCTGCAAGGGGCTGACACTTCTGGTCTCATGGGGTTATTGTACGTTTTCAAGAATCTGAGGTGAACGTGACTGTGGTATAGACAATACTGTAAAA